AACCCTTTAAATGGTACTGGGAAATAGTTCGCGCAAAATCGTCCCAGTACTTTAGTACTGTCCATTTAGTTCTGGAACTAAAGCGGTGCGAAAGGCCCTATTCTTATTAGTTCATCTGGTGATGGTAATAATAGTAAAGCTTACTTCCTCTGTATTAGCTCACCATGTCATGACCATGAGTAGCTATTGTTGGTGTTCCTGTAGCTCAGACAGCACAGCATGCTGCTAGCAACGCAAGTTCATGGGTTTGAATCTCAGGGAATGCATAAACTGATAAAATGTATGCCTTGGATATGTTATAAATCCCTTCGGATAAAAGCATCTGCCAAATGAAAAAATGGCCATAGGTATATATATATATATAATTTTTTTTGTCTTGTTATTTTTTAGTTGTGTTTTTTTTTTCACCAAGGAGGGAGTTTTAAGTAGGGAAAGTTACAGTGTGCACAGTTTTGTGTATAAAGGAAGACTTTATGACAAAAGGTAATGTAAATTGTATTCTTCAGGATTTGATCTATTGAACTTATGATTCTATGCAGATATTGTAAAATTAAAAGGTGCCATGCTTTATAAGTACTACTTTATTAGTTTTACAGATTGTTATAGTGCATGAAGCACATAAGAACAAGGAACAAAGCTCTCTCTCACACCCTTCAGACACAGACAGCAGAAGCCAAGTAGGTTGAAGACCACTACATATTTCTACAACAATGAGCTCTTGTATTTCAGCTGTTATAGCTCTCAGTATCATGACTGACAACCACTGGCTTTCTTTTTAAAGGAGAAAGAAGGTTTTTTCAGTCTGGTTCTTCTAGTAGATTTGGCCCCTCAGAACTATTCAGGTTACTTGTGTTTAATTCTATTGAGCAAATCACCATCAAATTGGTATTTAGCACCATCAGCAGGGCTGTAACATCCATCCATTTATCCGTTTGTCCGTCCAACCGACCATGTGTAGTTGTGACTGAGGAGATATTTCTTCACAAGGACAAATGATCATGGCTCAAAATCTGCAAAGGGGTAATTAAATGTAACAAATCAAGTAAAAATCTATCATCTTTTATTGGAAAAACATTGAATCAAACTTTGATAATTGCCTAGGACTGCACGATTATGACAAAAATCATAATTGTCAATTATTCCCTTGTAATTGTGATTATTAATTACGATTATCACAGTTTACATTGAATGATGTTTATACCATTGTTTGAAGCAACTGCATGCCACATATTTATATGAAAATAAGCAAGCTGAAAACACTAACTGAAGAACTTTTATTGCTTTTCTATAGTATTAAGCCTCAAATGTCAACTATACATTGGATTGGTTTCTTCTTTTAATAATAAAAAAAGTACAAATATGCATGATATTATAATGTTATACTAAAACTAAAATTGAAAAAAAAAAACTTAAGATAACCCGTAGAAAGGGGGGAAAACCCACAAGCACTCAGAATAATATAGGTGGACTTTGAACGATTACATAATTGTGACATCCGTAATTGTAATCGCGATTAGAAATGTGATTAATTGTGCAGCCCTATAATTGCTTTAATCTTTAAAACAACTGAAAAGTTAAGAGAAATAGGTAAATATCTGTCAGTTTCAACAAATGAAGAACAAATTTATACTTGTGTGTTGTGTATTAGTGTAGGAACGTTATTGTCTCTGGCGGACAGCATGATAAAGCCGCTCAGGCCGCCGTTTTCTCCTTCCTCTCAGAAACAGATGACAAAACATCCGGTAGTGTGTGTTTTCCAGGAAATGCGTGTACTGCCTGGACCTCTGCAGGCTTCTCATAAGTACGACTATATATTGTGCATGTTATTTTTTGACAGACATTGATGTTGTGTTCATATTAATTGATGGTCATGAGTGTGTTATGTCAATGTTTCTATCTTCTAATATTCCAACCACAGCCTGCCTAAGTTTTGACGGTCATGATAACATTCGTGAGGGGTGAACTCTATCATTTTTGTCTTAGAAAAGTAATGTAGAAGTATTCAGTTTATATATTGTGCGTTATTTTTTGACAGACATCGATGTTGTGTTCATATTAAGTAATGCCCATAAGTGTGTTATGTCAATGTTTCTTTCTTCTAATATTCCAACCACAGCCTGCCTAAGTTTTGACGGATATGATAACATACGATGATAGAGGGGTGAACTCTATCATTTTTGTCTTAGAAAAGCAATGTAGAAGTATTCAGTTTAAATAGACCTCAAATAAAGTGCAAATTCTCCAAATCTACGCTGAAATGCAGTACTGTATGACTGTGCTTTACTCTCCTGATTGTGTTTTCTTTTGTGTTCAGGTCGAGAGCAGTTTCATGGCCTGGGCTCCATGTACTGCCGTGGTGCGGCTGCAGTCATCCTCACCTATGACGTTACCAACTGGCAGAGCCTGGCTGAGCTGGAAAACCGCTTCCTGTCCCTGACCGACACTGCCAACACTGACTGCATATTTGCCATTGTGGGTAACAAAGCAGACCTTACTGACGCTCTCGCTCAAGAGCCAGAACCAGAGAGCGAGCGATGGGACGAATCCCAGCCTGTGGTCACGTGTCCGACTCCTCCTGCCACAAAACAGGTCAGCAGAGAGGACGCCATCGCCCTGTACGGCCGTGTGCTACGCTACAAAGGCCTGGAGGAGAAGGCCTGTCTGCCTGCTGAGAGGATGTGCTTTGAGACAAGCGCAAAAACGGGTTACAATGTGGACATTTTGTTTGAAACCCTCTTTGATCTGGTCCTGCCCTCCATCCTGAAGAAAAGGAGTGAGGGAGAAAATGCCACTGTGGATCTGGAGATGCCAATGGAGGTGAAAAAAACTAAAACAGGATGTTGTGCAGGACAAATATAGGAGATGTGGGATTGTGTTGTCAGTCAGTGCCAAAGGAGGAATGGATCAAAATCATACCTAAAACTAATGCTATGTTACTGACGTA